GGCACAAGATTTACTGCTGCAAGCTATGGCCGAGGAGAAGTGGGATTTGGCAATAATATCGGAACCCTACAGAGTCCCAGAGCATCCCCACTGGGCTGGGGACACGGAGGGGATGGCGACGGTAGTTTGGGCGGGGAGCGAGAACTCGCCCCCCCATCCAGGTACTGGGAGGTATAATAAAAAAGGAGATGAAAGCATTAATACGCGACGCAAAAGAAAAGGCTTGGACAGAGTTCGTCGAGACCCTGAATAAGGACCCATGGGCCAGACCCTATAAGTTGGTCATGGGTAGACTCAAGCCCTGGACGCCTCCGATAACGGAGACTCTGGAGCCGGAGGCAGTAGAGCGTATCGTGGCGGAGCTCTTCCCGGGGGACGACGAACTGCCCCCGCGGAGGTACGAGCTACCGGCTCCCTGGAGGGAAAACTGGCAAATGAAGGAGGAAGAGATGGTGTGGGCGGTGAAAAGGATCGGGGGGGTCGCCAAAGCGCCGGGTCCCGACCGCATCCCCGGAGCTGCCCTCAAAATGGCCATCCCACATGTCGGGGAGGACATAAGGGAGCTGATGGAGGGGTGTCTCCGAGAGGGGCACTTCCCAGAGATATGGAAAAAGGCTACCCTGGTCTTAATCCCTAAAGAGGGGAAACCGGCGGGCCTCCCTTCGTCTTACAGGCCCATCTGCCTTATTGACGAGAGCGCGAAGATCTTCGAGCGTGTCATAGCCGACAGAATTGGAAAACAACTGAGACGCAACCCTACCATGGGGAAAAATAAACTGTCCGAGTGCCAGTTCGGATTTAGAGAAGGCAGATCGACAGTGGATGCGATCAAGTTCGTCAGGGAATGGGTAGAAACTGAGACGGAAGAAGGAGAGGTAGTTTTGGCTGTCTCACTAGACATCTCCAACGCTTTTAATTCGATCCCGTGGAGGTGGATCATGAGAGCGATGGAAGAGACGTTTGGTCTACCAACATATTTGGTAGAGATCATTAGAAAATACCTCGAGGGTAGAACCCTCGAATGGAGGGACAGCGCCGGAGCCGTCCGGTCAAAGAGATTGCGACGAGGGGTCCCGCAGGGCTCTGTCCTGGGTCCACTTTTGTGGAACCTGGCGTACGACAGGGTCCTGCGGACCTCGCTGCCCCCCCCCACCGCTGCACCATAGTCTGTTACGCAGACGATACCTTGGTGCTAGCGGCGGGGGAGGACTGGGGAGACGCACTGGCGACGGCCAGTTTGGCCACAGCCAGAACGGTAAAAGCAATTAAGGCGATGGGCTTGAGGGTCGCGGCTCACAAGACCGAGGCGATGTACTTTTACAAGGCGTCCACGGGAGGGCCACCCCAGAACACGATCACAGTGGATGGGGAGGAGATTGAGATAGGACAATCCATAAAGTACAATACTTAGGATTGCACCTGGACCAGCTGTGGAGCTTCCTGCCGCACTTCAGGAAGCTGATTCCGAAGGCAGACAGGATGGCGTGCGCACTGGCGAGGCTCTTGCCGAACTTGGGAGGACCGGGAGCGGCGGTGAGGAGGGTCTATGCCGCAGTCACCCACTCGGTGCTCCTGTACGGGGCACCGGTGTGGGCGAAAGAGATGGATGGGTCGGCACAGCTGCGCCGTATAACCCATGGATGCCAGAGGCGCATAGCCTCGAGAATAGCGAGAGCATACAGGACGGTGTCCTTCAGCGTGGTAACCGTGCTAGCGGGCATCCCGTCGATAGAGAGCCTGGCCACTATGTACGCCGAGGTGTACCACTGGCGGAGGGCGTTCAGAGCGGCAGGGCGAAAGATAACCTCCACGAGAATGGAGGAGGCGAGACGCAGGGCGAGAGCTAAGGCCCTGGCGGGCTGGAGGGAGTCTCTCAGAGACGAAAGACTGGCGGGGGCACGGACGCTGGACGCAATCCGGCCCGTGTTCCCCGCTTGGATTGACAGGAGACACGAGCAGCTCTCCTTCCACCTCACGCAGATATTAACAGGCCACGGCTGTTTCGGGGCCTATCTGCAGAGGATCGGAAGGGAACGAAGTGCCCGATGTCATCACTGCAGGCGCAGTTTCGTGGATGACGCGCAGCACACCCTCCAGGATTGCGAAGCCTGGAGCGAGAAGCGCGCGGAAGTACAAGAAGAGGTGGGCCAGGACCTGGCCCCGACGGCTTTGGTAAGAGCCATGGTGAGTGGAGAAAGCGCTTGGCGCGCCGTAGCAACGTTTGCCATTAAAGTGATGGCCGCCAAAGAAAGGGCGGAGAGAGAGAGAGAGGAGGAGAGAAACAGCCCCTCCAGCTCTCGAACCGCAAGAGGCGGAAAGAGGAGGAGGTGGCGGGGTGGCGGAAACGCACCCGCCTAGGCAAAGCCGGGACCAATTGGTCAGGGAGTGGCTCGCGAACCGGTAGGGTTCAAGGAGCCAGGGTGCGGGGAGTGGTAGTGGGGGGCTGCTCTCCCCAGCATCTCCCCCTAAAGTAGCCCGACAGGCAGCGGAGACCCTGCCTGTCGGGGCCGGGTTAGGACGAGAAGTAGTGCGCGAGAGCGCAAAAGCCAATTTGGCTTTTAGACAGCAAGAAAGGACGCGGGGGAGGGGGCGAGATGAAATGCTTCTGGCGTACCCTCGCCCCCCTCTCAATATCGCTTCAGGAAGGTCTCCTATGGGGTTTTAGTGTGTATGAGGGTTCGTGATTCTTCACGACCCCGAGTCCCACATACCCCTCACCCTCCCTTCGAGGATGAGGGGATGCGTAACGGCATTTCCCCATGGAAAAAAAAAAGGTTAGGTTAGGTTAGGTTAGGTTCCCCGCAGGGGGTGGGATCATCTCTGATGCGGTCCGATTTGCTCGGTCGCATTTTGATATGGTTCCGCTACGGGTTTAGCGAACCCGCGGTGCCTGAGCTCTCGTAATCTCTTCCCTTGCACCATGCAAGAGACCGAGCGTCCGAGATTGCACCCAACCTCTCGGACGGCGAGGTGGGCCCTCTATAAAAGGTCCCCCTGTCTCGTGGTAGAGGTGCGCGGCTACGAGATGAATGGGTGATGGGTGAATCATCCAACAACGGCCAAGTGGGGAGCGCATGGATGCAACTAACTGTGTGGAACGGACTGTGAAATGACTAAGTAACGTTTAACAGAGAAAGTATGGTGCGATTCCTCGGGCCTTGGTTCGGTTCTCTCTCGCGATGGGATGGAGGATAGCCTGAGACCTTTGAGGGACTTGAACTGTCGCAGTGCAGGCTCTGACTAGTATACTCCAGGATGTGGGTTAGCCTTCGGGTTTTGCTCTCTGCTCCCTATCCTGGAGGTGTGCCGATCGACGTTCGTCGAAGAGTGATGAAAGAACGAAGGTAGGTGCAACGACCTACTTTCGCCTTGCGGCCGTTCGGCGGTGTCGTCCTTGCCGTCGGACGGTCGTCCGCTGGGTCGCGGGAAGCGCTAGAGGCGAGTCGGGTGATTGGCCGGCGAGTCACCCGGCTTCCTCTTCATCGCCGGTACTATATACAATATGAGCGGTTCAAAAAAGGTTATGAAGCGACGAGAATTCGGATGCTCGTCACGGTTTCCCGGGGGTAGTGTCCCCGCTTCCGGGCGATCGACCCCTAAGGGGGAATCAAGCGAGGGGCGAGTCGCGGGGTTGCCGGCGGGCTCCGCGGCCGATACGGCTACCGCTGAGGTAGCGACTGACTGGAGTGTGTGTGGTACACCCGTTAGGGGAAAAACAGCAGCGGCGAAGTGCCATAAGCAGCTGTCGGTGGCTTTGGAGAGAATGCCTGCGTCGGCTATCGGTAAGTCAGAGAGTAGGGGCGACTTCTTGCCTGATGGCCAGACCGCGGTGTCTATAAGGGGCGAAAACAGGGGTAGTTCCAGAGGGACCGGCCCAAGAGCTGTGTCACGTCCCCCTAGGGAGCGTGGGCCACGAGCTGTGGACGTGGTGGAGGTGGACACTTCGAGTAGCGGATCCAGCGATTCGACGAATTCCGATGCTTCGGATGATTACGTCGATGGAGAGTTACAAAAGCGTTATTTCGATGGGATTTTGCCCTCGGATCTCAGGGTTGCAGTGGACATAGTTATGCGTCCGTTACCGAAGAGGACTCCTAAGGAGATAGTGTCGAGGATTTTCAAGGTATTGAGAAGAGTGACTAATACAGAGCGGGAAACTGAGATTAAGAGTGTGTATTTGATTAGATTCAATTCGCAATCGAGGTGGCCAAACAGGCTATTCAGTATTTGGCGACGAGCTTGGAAAAAGCTGAGGATCAGGAAGCTTCGAGTCTGAGCCGCCACGAGCGCAAAGTTAAGGCGCTCAGGGATCAAATGGAGATCATCCAGAAAGAGAGGGATAGTCTTCGCAAAGAGGTCGAGGCTTTAAGAAAGGAACTTCTGGACTGTCGAGCGCAAGGACGAGAGGAGCGTGGGGAGTCTGGCCAACTGCTACAGGCCTCTTCTGTTGGTGGGGGTAGTTCTCACGCGAGTGAGGATGTCCCTCTGGCGCGCGACCCTTCGTTGGGTGGAGTACCCTGAACGATACCGGAGGACACTACTGCGGAGGATACTTCGGTGCGAGGAGGACAGGTGAATGGGACGGAGCAGATTGTGCCCTCTGTGGAGGTCCACGTTCCACGGGGAGAGAACCATCCGGATTGCCCTCCTCCCTCAGGCCTCGAGAAGAGAGAGTCTTGGGTGTCGGTAGTTGGGAAAGGAAGAAAGAGGAAGAAGAGAAAGAGCGGGACGAATAGTGACAGTGATTTGCGAGTGTATCGGACGTGTTAACGGACAGTGCCGGTGCTTCGAAGGCAGTGAGGAAGGTTTCGTCTTTCGCGGTAGCTGCGCGGGGGACTCGGGATGTTGCGGTTTCTGGGAAGGATCCTGGGGTCTGTCCCAGATCTGGGTCTGAAACTGTGGCTCCTGTGAAATGGACTGCACGTGTTGGGACTCGGAAGAGAAGCTCTGCGGTTGTAGTGATACGGTGCAGCGAGGGTGGCCCGTCTTACGCTGAGGTCATGGGTGAGGCAAGGACGAAGGTTCCCTTGGAGGAACTGGGTATAGCGGACACGAGATTAAGGCGTGCGCAGACTGGCGGTCTACTGATAGAGATCGCGGGAGCGAACGCTGGTACAAAGGCGGACTCTCTAGCGGAGAGGCTCAGCGCCCTCTTTAAAGAGGGAGAGGAAGTGAGGGTGATACGCCCAATTAGAAGGTTGGAGTTCCGTCTCGTTGATTTGGACGAGTCCGTAACGGCCGACGAAATCAAGGAGGCTGTCGCGGCACGAGGAAGAGTACCACTGAGCGACGTGCGCGTTGGACCTTTGAGACCCCGAGGGGGAGGTCTCAACAGCGTGTGGCTGCAGTGCCCTGAGCTCTGCGCGGAGGTGATACGAAAGGACGGAGGACTGCGAGTGGGGTGGTCGCGAATGCGACTGATACCGCTGGCCAGGAGGAGGCTCCAGTGCTACCGGTGCTTAGCGGTGAGACATACCAGGGTCAACTGCAGGAGCGCCGTAGACAGGAGCAATAGATGTTTTAAATGCGGAAAGGAGGGGCACAAGGTGATCGACTGTCGGGCTTCGCCTCATTGCCCTGTGTGCGCGGCGAGGAACTTGCCGGCTGGACACAGGGCTGACGGAGACGGGTGCGCTCCTTACAACGGCTTGGTGCGAGCGACCGTTCCTGCTGCCGCGATCGTCCCTGCGTCGGGGAGTGTTTCCCCCGCGCAGGATGCGATGGTGGTGGACGGTTAGCGTTGGATTACATAAGGCGGATTGGTCGCGACCCGCGCAGGACTCGCTGCGCGTGTGTGCGAGAGCGGACAAGTGTAAATAGATGTAAATAGAAGATACCCGCGTTTCAGTGGTGGGAGCCATCCCGCGCGCATTTGGGGGCACCCTGACGTAATGCCAGTAGGCGGTTCCGGAGTGCTCCCACATATGCCTTGTCGAATTTGTTTGGACCAGGGGGAGTTTTTTAGTCGGTAGGCGGCCGTTCCGGTGTATCCTCGTGATCACGGGGCGGTCGAATCCGGCACACCCAGTGGTGCGGGCCGCTGGGCGTCTCCCCCCCCCCCCGGGTTGTACCCCTTGCGGGTCCCCCCGGGGGAGGGCGGTGTGAAGATTTTTCTCCTCCTACGCAAATAAAAAAAAAAGGTTAGGTTAGGTTAGGTTCCCCGCAGGGGGTGGGATCATCTCGGATGCGGTCCGATTTGCTCGGTCGCATCTCGATATGATTCCGCTACGGGTTTAGCGAACCCGCGATGCCTGAGCTCTCGTAATCTCTTCCCTTGCACCACTGGAAGAGACCGAGCGTCCGAGATTGCACCCAATCTCTCGGACGGCGAGGTGGGCCCTCTATAAAAGGTCCCCCTGTCCCGTGGTAGAGGTGCGCGGCCATGGGATAAATGGACGGTGGGTAAACTGTCCAATAGCGGCCACAGGGCGGGTTCTGGGTGTTATCCCAGCTAGGGGCAACTGTTATCTCGTGCCCTGTGGATTGATGTGTCGTAGACATTCGGTCTCTCCGTGGTACGGTGTTCTGTGCGCGGAATGCGGGGGATGTTATCGACACTTACATCGATGCGTGGGTGAGCTTCTCTCTAGCGGGAAGTTTTGCTGTTTGTTCCCTACATCGATGTGGCGGTTCACCAACTTGACGCCGATGGAAGACGAACCGGGGAGTTGGTCGGCGTGCTCCTCGGCCGTATTACTACGCCGACAACAATACAATATTAGACAGAGTCTGGATGAATCTGGAAGTATCTCGGAATCTCAATACGGATTTTGGCCGCATAGATCGACGGTAGTTGCAATTTGGAGGCTGCGTAGGATTGTGGACGACGAGGCGCGGGATGAAAGGGTGGTATTGGCTGTATCATTTGATATAGCCAATGTTTTTAATTCCCTCTCGTAATCGGTCATTAAGGAGGCTCTTATGGAAAGAGGGGTTCTGGGATACCTCAGACATGTTCTCGACAGCTATCTTTCGGGCCGTTGGCTTTCATATGTAGATAAAACTGATGAGTATGTTAGATCGCCCATAAGGTGTGGCGTTCCTGGGACCAACTCTTTGGAATGTAGGATACGACACTATCTTACATATGAATCTACCTCTGGAATGTTCAATTTGGTTAAAAGTCCTTCCATGCGCGAGGTCTTGATAAGGGCTGAGTTGGGGACTACTGTCATTAGAATAATAGAGGCTGGACCTTAGGATCTCACTGAGAGTGAGACAATAGTCTTCGTGTGGGAGATGCCACGCGCGAGTCTACGGAGATTCGAGTCGGAACTACGTTAAAATATTTGGGTCTAACACTGGACTCGAGTGGTTATTTAGGGAACACTTTAGACATTTGTTTCTCAAAGCCTTGAATATGGCTTTGGCGCTGGCCAGAATCACGGATAACATAGGCCCGGGTGAATTCAGGCGTAGAGTGTATGCGAGTGTCGTCCTGTCGGTGGTGTTGTATGGCGCCTCGATTTGGGCGCAAACAGTGGCGGCTGACCGATTAATTTGTAGAAATGCATTCAGAATGCAGAGGCAACTGGCCCTTAGGGTAATTAAAAGTTATAGGACAATATTGCATGAATATCCTTTACTCGCGCGTCTGGTCCCGTTTGATATTATCCGATCGCCTAGATGATCTATTTGAGGCGCCGCGCTAGGGGCCACAGTTCGGGGGACATTAGTACTTAGGCTGGATCAGTGGATGGCAAGGGCCCACGGTGGCCTTACATAGATAATACAGATGATCACTGGTCATGGTTGTTTTGAGGCGTATTTGTACCAGATTGAAAAGTTTAGATCACCAATCTATAAATATTGCAGTGAAGCGACAACGCGTTTCATACCTTCCTTCATTATCCCCCGTGGGCAGTAGAGAGGGGAATCTTTTTGTAGCTCTTGGTTTGGATTTAGGTCTGGATCGAGAGTATAATACATAATTGGAGCCATCGTGAGCTCCGCTGAAGTGTGGACGGCTTTTGCAAGTTATTGCGGGGTTGTGATGAGGCGGAGAGGGAGCGTGAAAGGAGGCGGAGGGCCAGGATTATGTGTGTGCCTGCCTCCTCTCCCCTCGAAATTTTCCTCCTCGTAGAGGATCCAGTTTGTATATACTGTACATATATCAATGTGTTTTTTTTAAATTAGATTAGTTTTAGTTTAGCATCGGGAGTTCTCGTATGGGCGGTGGAAGCTATCTCGTTGATATTGAGGATGTCCCGACGTAATACCTGTCGGTAGTTCTGGGGTACCTTTGCACATGAATGAATTGCTTAGACAAGGGAGTTTTTTTAGGTAGGCAGCCGTCCCGGTGTATCTCTCGAAATCACAGTGTAATTGAATCTGGCACACCTGATGATACGGGCTGTTGGGCGTCTTCCCTCAATAGGTATTCCCTTTGAGTCCTTCTCGGGTGACGGCGGGCGGTGCAAAGATTTTTCTCCTCCTATGTAAAACAAGAAAAAGGTTTAGCAGTCTCGCAAAGGATCCCTTGCGTGGGGCACAATCTTGTCGTTGTGCGGAGACTCACCCCGGGCGTCTTCCGGCCCGTGGCCGCTGTCAGCACGTGCTGGCGGGGGTTTCCGGGCCTGGGTCACAGCTCGGAGTGCCAACTGTATTCCGTACTGATCCCTCCATTAAATAGAGGAGGTCTGTATACTGAGTTCGGTACCCCAAAGGGGTCCTTCAGTCCTTGAGGGTACTCTTGGGAGATCTGTCCTTTGGACGGGTCTCCATTGTGCTGGTAGGGGTTGGCGGCTCCGACAATCGCCCGGTGGCACGGCGCTGATAGGGGAAATCTTTACTTTCTGCCCGTGTGTGATGTGAGATTCGACCTCCACCGGGTGATGGACTTCTTTGGGATCCTCCTCCTCCTCCTTAGGAGATGGAGAGGCTTCCTTGGGATCACGCACCCGGAAGCGTCAGTGCTCCGCAAGGCGAGTCAGCCTACATGCTGGGTGTTCGTAGCTACGGGCTGGCTCATGTCATCGGAAGGAAAAGTTCCCAAGAGCCTTGCTCATTACACTGGGGATTCTCTAGCGAGGTGCAGACTGTGTCTGTAGAGAAGGTCGAGGAGCCGCATGGACGTATTTCGTGACCCTCTCGTGGAGGGGGGGGCCGCGTGACCGCTCGGACGTATTCCGAGGCGGGGTATGTGGTCTCAGCCTGCGGGCTACTCAGATGTATGACGAGGTCGAGGTTGGGGGCGTATCACAGAGAATTAGTAGCCCGGCGTTCCTTCTGAAATAGAGGCGTTAGGTGGAGGTTGTCGGTCGGATCCCCCGCGGCGGACGCGCTGGTCGCCGCGGTAATTAGAGTCCGGAGAAGGCGCTGCCTCCGTGACCTGACCCGTCCGTAGGGTCCCGAGGTGGCGCCATTCGCAACGGTACCCTCGTGGTCGGAGGTGAGGAACCCCCGAAAGTCGTAGGAAGAGGAGTTTCATGGTTAGTAAGAGACCGGAATCCATCCCAGATGTATTGCCTGGGGCCCGACATATATCAGTACAGAGACATATTCCCCGGGAAAACTCGAGGCTCTCCCTCTAGGTCATGTCTCTGGAGAGGGGTGAGGGCACGCTTGACTGGCGGAGCCGCTCTCTCGGATGGGGGGGGGAGGAAAAAAGCCGAGAGAGGACAAATACTCGGATGATGAGTCTTCGGACAATGCAACCGCCTCGACGGACGACAACGGTGAGTCAATTTCATCAAGGGGGTTCCTCGGACTCGCTGGGAAGATCCAGTTGACACACCCGCAGGGGGACAATGGTGCGAGCAACGGAAACAACTAGAAAAGGTTAACAAGAATCAAGAGCGGATTAGTACTTCCTCTCCGTCATTAGTCAAAAAACCAGACCAAAAGGATCGGTTAAGCTCCTCTTACAGTGGGAACAAGAGAAGGATGAACCCGAGGTCTCTCGTGATATCCTCGGACGAGGAGACGTTCAACATGAAGAGAAATTCAGACAAATCTCGGACAAAATCAGTGCGATGGAAACCAATCTAATAAGGAAAAAGAAGGGAGGAAAAGAACTTCGTACCACAGGGCTCTATGTTAACGCAGGGAAGTTATACGTTTAGCTAAGAGAAAGAGAGAGGACTTCAGCTAGCTAGGGAAGGATTTATCAAAAGCCTCAGTCAAGAGGATCTTCTGAAAAAGGCTAAGATCGATCTGGAAAAATAGAAAAAAGATGTAGAGGACAAGCCCTATGACGAATTATCTAGGAAGGTGGAATGCCAAATGGAGGTCTTAAGAATTGCAAAGACCTCCTCAAACCTAAAAGGCACCTATCAAAAGTTCCTCAAGCTGGCTGCAGCTGCCATTATGGAATGTCTAGAGATATTCAAAGATAGAGCGGAGAAAATCAGGGAAAATGCCAATTCCGAGGAGATCTGCGCGCTAAGAATGGAACTAACTGCCCTGAAGGAAAAACTTGAAACCAAGAATCAGGAACAGAAAAGGACATCTGAGGCATCTGAAGCGGCGGAGCGGTATCTCTAGGAGCTTAGGATGTTAAGAAAAGAGAGGGAGATCTAGAAATCCGCGAGCAACGAGTATACCCCAGGTCTCACCTCCTCTACATCCTGAAAGATATGCGTCGCTCCAATGATGGAAAACGCAACCAAAGAGGAAGCTAGAAAAAGTCTGAGACTTGAGAATAAAGAAAGGATATGGACATCGATATCCAAATGGAAATCGATATCACCGAGGAGAAGGAGAAAACTAGCTAAAGAATATCACCCCCTCCCCCTGG